GTATTCATTAGCAATAATAAACTAATTAGGCCAAAATTAAGGGATCTTAATTATGGGGTCCTCTAATTATGCTAGGACTCAACTACTAATAAAAAATTTTGTACATTCATTTTACCTATCAATAACTATGTTATATCAATCCACAATGACATATTTTTTCTTCAATATTTTAGGTTTTAGTGATTTAATATATTGTTCATGAAACGTCTATTTGTGGGTTGGTAGGGTGCAAATCCATCCTTAATATCTAATACACAATAAAATATTAGAGAAAAAGAGAGTTTGATATACAAAATATTCTGCAAAAATGTATAATATAGACCGTCAATTTTAATATAAGTATTGATTATTATTTATACGGCTTAAACTTGTGATGTTATAAATAAATATTCTGCATAGATATGTGATATAAATGTTTATTCTAATACACATTAATAATTATTTTTACGATTCGAACCGATAATCTCGTAAATCACAAAAACATAACAAAAGAAGTGTTTTATTGGACCACAATTTGCTTGCTATAATTAATTTATTTTGTGGTATGGGCATTGTTTTAGATGTGAATTACTACCAACCATCCTCAAAACCAGACTTAATTAACTAATATCTACTTTTGACTACAATTAATATTTTTAGTATATGGACATCAAGCTCTTCTTTTTATTTCTTTCCTTCAATTAAATGGATTTAGATCCACCTCTAGGCTCTAGCTTCTACCTAGTTTGATCTTCGATCAACATGTGAACTTAATAAGTTTGACTTTTATAAATTTAAGTTACAATTTAGAATATGATATTTCTTAATTTTATATAATATTTTGTATATTTATTTATATTCAAGTCGAAAATATAAGTTTGGTTTAATATATACAGAGGTTATATTCTGAATTTAAGGGATAAATAATTAATGTTGAACAAAACTAAAATCGATACACTAGTTTTATCTTCTTCTTTTCTTAAGAATTTTTTTTTCTACTCGTGTGATTTATGTTTCATAAAGCTAGACTCATTTGTTAAATTAATATTTCACTTTATACACAATAATCATATATTTTTATCATATAAAATTAATGCATTAAAATAAAAAAAAAATTGTTTATTGAACTCCTACGTCAAACAAATAACATTCAAGCTCACTTATCGAAAAGGAAAAAAATCTTGAACACCCTTGATAAAAATTCTGACTCCGCCACTGTATATTATATTGATAACCTATCTCGAATATCCTGTATTACTAACCTCCCTTAAATTTTTAGATATTTACAAAGAGATTAAGACATTGGATATTGTCTTTTCCAAATTCAAAGAAATTATAAATATCGAAGAGTTTGCATAATATTTTTAACGATCAAATAATCACAAGAAGATCCAAACCATCTATTATTCACGTTCAAGCAATACTCTATTAACGATACTCAAATTAATGAAAACAATTAAGAAAAAAGAATATGGTATTTTATATTTTTTATTTAGGAAAGAATAAACATAATTTCTAGTTCTTTTTCTTGTGGATGGATGGAATAATACCACGTCATAGAAGATTACTCATGGCCACGAGGAACAATAAGTCTAAAGATTCTTATAATAAAATTAAAAATCATCTACTTATTTTGAACCACTCCTTTTTATTTATATTGCGCATCTATTATATGATTTTATTTAATTTAACCAATACTTATTAATTTCTCACATGTTACAACAAAAAATTCCTTTCTCGTGATCAATAAAATGTTGTCATTTTGTTTACCTTTTATTAAATCTTTAATCTTTTGTTTCCATATTATTAGGATATAATAATTCCTTTCTATTTTATTTTAAAAAAAAATAAAAAGAAATTAGAAATTTCTTAAAAAATACATCGCTAATATTTTTTAAGTGTGCACTAGATAAATTCATTCATGTGGCGACTAAGAAAAGGACCAAATTAAAGGTAATGATTGGGTTCAAAAAACAAAAATGTAGTGTTATAAATTTGGAATCTAAGGTGAATTCTAAACCTCCTCATTCATTAACCATATATCTAATTTTGTATTTAGGAGATTTAGAATTTATATGCATACAAAATTTAAAAAATATCTTATGTACATCATGTAACTTTTTGTTGAGAATCTTCTAAATCCGTCGCTGAGCAAGAGACATCCCCTAGCAATCCTTTTTGGTTTATCACGTTCGCTAGCCAAACAATTTTTGTCACTATTATATAATAGCTCGCAAAATTATACAACAGATATAAATTTGACAAGATAAGTCAATATCTAACCATAAAATTATACAACAGATATAAACTTGACAAGATAAGTCAATATCTAACCATATAAATAATTACTATCTTTTACATTGTCAAATATACAAGGGTTGTATGAGATTTTATTTTTTAATTTTTGTTTTTCAACAAATTTTAAATCCACAAAACAAAAATAAATAGCACCATACTGAAAATAGCTGGAGAGCACTTTATAAGAATTAAAATGTGAAGAGATATTTATAACCTTTCGTGTTATGAGAAGTCATTGGTGAAACTCAATTAACTTTTATATAGTAAGTATGACAAGATTGATGATCATCAACGTTACTCTATTTCTAAAAATAGAAAAATATATCATGCATTAACTAATTCTAATTTATCACTAAAAATTAAACGATTTGCAATTTTTGGCTACAATTAAATCAAAGACTAAAAAAAGTGGAAATTAAATTTCTAAAGATAACAATATAGATATCAACTATTGGTATGTTTTCGTCTAAAAAAAAACGATCAGTTATATAAATCTTTACCATTCGCTAGCTAATACTGAGACGAAAGATAAAGTTAGAATAGGTCAAAAGATGAATTTAGAATTTTAAACAAATTTTGAAACTCTACAAATTGGTTTATTTGTATATCTTTTGAATTTCAATAGTCTTTTTATGGAGTTGTTTTGTATTTTAATTCATTGTATTTTTATGCAAAACATTTCGTGAGTCAAAAATAGTAAAATATTAATAACTTTTGATTTAGCATAACTTATATTTAATAGGATGTGTTGGAAGTGATTATTTAACCACCTTTGGCTATTATTGGTTCTAAAAGGACAAGTACTTCATTGAGTTTCAATTTGTTTATAGTAAATAATTAAATGAATGTCGACCTAATTTAATTTTGAAACTTTAACTCAAAATGGTAAAGATATATTGACCAAGTCATATAAAGAGTCTTATAATTTCATCCATCTTCAATATGTGATTCTATTTATATTTTCAATACGCCTAGACTTCATTCGATATTGAATGTGTGAATAATGTTATTTTATAATATTGGCGCCTGACTTTGATATTGTCTAATACTAGAAGCGTGAATAAATTATTTTAACCTGACTATAATATTATATTAAACGAATCTTGCAGTTAAATCAATTAAAAATTAGTTAGGAGATACGAATTGTTCAAATCATATAAAAAATCCAAAAAGATTATCTTTTATGTTCAGCGCTTGCGTTTAGGACATCGATCAATTCAATTTTTGGCTGGTAAAACTAATTAAATGAAATACAAATAATAACATAAATCTAAGAATAAAAACAATCATGAAGTAATAGTATCACCTAGTATAGAAGGACAAATGTGAGTCATGACCACATTTAACAATCTTTTAACCAATCACCCTAATTTACATCCTCTTAACCTCGTATCTACGTTCTGTTCTTCAATAAGCTGAAATTATATTTTATCTTGCCTAATAACCTTTTTCCGATACTTCTTCAACATATTTCTATATCTTTTGAAACTAACCATAATTGAACTTTTACATATTCACTTTAAGACATATATACATTTCTCTTTTAGATGTTTAATCATCACTTTTTTATCTCATTTTTCATTAATATCATTTTCGTTATATCTCAAATATCTTTTTCACACAAAAAAAAATCCTATATATCAAACGATAATTGAAATGTGATTTATCAAATAATTGAATCGTAGTTAATGCATCAAAAAAGGACATAGTGGAGAATCAATAGACTCCATAGGAGATGTGTCCAATAAGCTAACCTATGCAAAGTAGGCTTACCCATACAGGCAACTGGCCCTACCTCTAAATTTTTAACATAACCGACAATAGGATAAAATCAAAAAGTTTTTCATCGAACCAGAGTTTTAGATCGAGTTTTGATTAAAATTAATTTTTTTTATTAAAAATGCAATATTAATTAGCTAATCTTTAGATTGTTATTTTACGTTGAGTATGAGACACTTTATTTTATATTGGTTTGTTCGTATTATTAAAAATATATATATTTCGAATTACTTTTCGAAGGCTAAAAGACCTCGTAAGTTGTGGTTTGGTACCAACTTACTATAAAAGCTCTAAACTTGAAAAGTGATGCAAAGAAAAGTATGTCCCACGAATAGAAAGAAGGGAACTTAATTAACTAAGTGACCCACGATTAGATTCACAAAAGGGTCAAAAATGTTTTAAAACCATATATTATACGATTGATAGTTAAATATCCCTTCGTTATTTATATCAAAGGTATGTTAAGCTATCATTATGTATATGAAATTTTAGAAAAGATCAAATTTCGCAAGATTTTACTGTACATAATTATTTTCACAATTTTAACTAGTGATATTTTGATCCCATAACATCAACCTTATAATCAATTATGTTAAAGATAAACCGATAAATATGAATAGATTTCTTTTATTTTAAAAATAAATATTGTCGTAAAGTGGAATAGAGTATAGGGGAAGAAAACAAAAGGGAGGAAAGATAAATTCACACAAATACACTAACTAATAAGCTCTTAACATGTGTGGGATTTCAACTAGAATCAAACCATATTTCCATATCTCGAATTAATGACATTATGATTATACGAAAGTAACTATACCAGTTACGTCAAGGGTAAATTGGTCAATTGAAAAGAAAAGGGGGAGAGAATTTGATATCACTCACATAGAGATGAAGCGCGTGGAAAGATATGAATTTTATGATAACTTAAATATCAGCCTCTCCCAAAGTACTCCTATTTAGAAGTTGACGTCCATTTTTTCTAACTTATCTTTTTTTTTTCTTTCTATACTATTTTTCTGAGTGTCTTCTCACCAATTGCCATTGACACGACAAAGCTTTCAAATCCCCCAAAAAAGTTTCTAATTAAATATTCCAAACTCTTTACGCGTTTATCTTCTCCTTCTCTATAAACCCTAGCTTCAATTTTTTCTCTCTCCGCGTAAAATTCACTCTGTAACTATGGATGAAAACGATAAGCAGGTTGATAATGATCCATTACCTGGTGGTGGTGGTGGTGGTGCAGCGGAGTTCACCGGCGCTACTACTGAATCAAGCTGGTCACTCGGTGGTGGAGATGATGAATCGGATAATGTTTACTTCTTCGGTACTAGTAGTACTGATAGAGAGAGCAGTATATTAACCGAATTCGGCTGGAATTTTCAACCGCACGGAAATAGAGATGTTCGCGCCGGTGGTGACGGTAGTCGATTTGATCGGATCGATGAGGATTTGGCGGGAAATAGTACTACAACTACTGCTTCTGTTTCTGCTTCTGTTTCTATTACTGAACCGACGGTGACGGAGAAAATCACCGACGAACCTGTTTCATCTAGCTGTTCTGATGATCCCCCGGAGAAATCTACAGCTTCCGGTAGCTCCTCCGCCTCTCGACCGCCGTCCGATACAGCGTGAGTCATGTGTTTATCATCGACTTCTCTCTAAGTATGTCTAAATTCGTAATTAACTGCGATTTGAAATGGTAAAAATAAGGAGTAAAACGCCATTAACGTGTCCGTACGTAGGTGTAGAAAAAATGTCAAGTGGTTCACGCAAGTTGAGGGAAGAGAAGAGAGGTATTATCGTAATTTTAATCATCAAGGATGGGCTTTTCGGTATTTGCTCACTTTTCTGTGGCTTTAAAACAGCCGTCGTTGCGGCGGGAATGGCGTGGATGAATTTTTTCCTCTAAAATTAAATATCGTAATAATAATTAAAATTAACTGTTAAGGAAAAGTATTTTTTTTAAAATTTCTTTTTATATAAAAAAGTAACTTGCGATAACTCTTCCCTAATAATGGTTTAGGTGTAATCTCTTACAAAATTAGTTTCTTCTACTTCATTATTTCGTGGTCCATTGCTTCGTACATTAGTATTTAAAGAAAGAAAAAAGGAATAGGTACAATGTGGAAACTTTTAACTGTTAAAGCAATAATAAAGTTATCTTAGTGTGATAGATCTGCTAAAATTGTAAAATTAGTCATCAATATAGCTTTTAGTCCGTTTTCATATGAATACAGAATACTTTGTGCAAATTACTGATAAATAAATGAATTTTGGTTTGTGTGAACTCTCAAGGTTCATTGCATGCATTTCTCTTCGTTGTGGTCTGCATTGTTCTTGTAGTATAACCTAATTATACAAGCCCAAGTGAACTTTTGTTTTTTTGTTTTTTAAACATTTAATATATTTCGTTAATAATAAATTGAACTAAGGTAGAGTTACTTAAAGCAAACAAACATGAAGAGAATTTGGATACGTTTTTATAAGTATTAAGTTCAACTGCAGACTCTTCAATTTTTTATGTTGCATCCGTATCGGATTCTTCAAAAATACACTATGTTTGGCGAATCCAATACGCACCTATTGACCTTTTTGAAGAGTTCGAGCAACTGTACTACTATTTTGATGTTGTTTAGTAGTATTACGCTGCCCACTATATTTATAAGGGTTTCTAAATTTCAACTAAGTTTGAGCAGCTAGATAAACATAACTTGTTACTTATCAATATATAACAAGAATCAGAGGTATATAATACCAGGTAATTTCTTTCTATCTGTTATAGTCTTGGATATGGTAAGATAGATATTCTGTGAAACTAGCCCCAGGGGTTGGATACCCAAAAATATAAAACCAATTTATAATATTCTTCATGTCTATAACTTCATTAAAAGAATAAATACCCATTCTTTTTCAATTGAAAGATATTTTGTTTATTACAAAGATTTACTAATTGGAAACTAGATTGGTTTGTATTAAATGATGCATTGAGTTTCTTAGTTATAAAGAAAATGCAAGTGTACCAGGAATTATAATTTTTTAAAATATTTTCTAGTACTATAGTATATATATTATGTAATATAAGATGAAGGAATCACATTCCTAATGTTACTTTAGGTTGAATATTCCACAGAAGCAAGGTTAAAAAGAAGGGTCAGAAACGAATCAGGCAGCCCCGCTTTGCATTTATGACCAAAAGTGAAGTTGATCATCTTGAAGATGGCTATAGATGGAGGAAATATGGCCAAAAAGCTGTTAAAAACAGTCCATTTCCAAGGTATGTTGGAATGAATTTAAATTTTATGAATTTCTAACGAATTATTTGAAGTATATTTAGTTATTATGTTCAAAATTCAACATTGAGAAAATTGTTTAATAAAACAAACCATTAGATGTACATGTACTTAACTAAATTACTCTTAATTCTACCTTATATACCTGAGTAATTATTTGTTATATGCCTTTTTGGAATAGTATGGAAGTTGTTTTCAAGAAATTTTTTTTTTTCTTCTTGGGGATTTTAGAAGTGATAGATTAAATATTTGGACAAAAATTGTTTGACTAAAGTGATGGTATAATAAATAGGATAGGGTAGTACTTTTCGTATATCTAATCCTAATTCCTGTCCTTATATCCTATTGAAACATATACATGTATCTTAACGAGTTATGTATATCTTGATTAATTTTATGAATTACTTTATTACAATCACCAATAAATAGGTATCAGATAATTATTCACAAAGATTTAAACAGATAAAATCATGTATTTCTTCATTTCAATTTGTATGATGTAGTCTGGGTTGATAAAAGTTGAAATAATTACTCATGATGAATATATATGACTTGTCAGGAGTTATTATCGTTGTACAAATACAAAGTGTACAGTAAAGAAAAGAGTGGAGAGATCCTCTGAAGATTCCTCAATTGTAATCACAACATATGAAGGACAACATTGTCACCATACAGTTGGATTTCCTAGAGGTGGACTTATCAATCACGAAGCATTTACATCTCAATTAACACCTTTACCCTCACAATTCTATCATCCATCCGGTGTTCAATACCCTCATGAATTAGTTCCTATGAGTAGCCCCGCTGCACCAGAATCACATACAATGCCTGGTGAAACCGGACCCGAACCTATTAGATTGCCAGAAACAAGTCAACCAGATGCTACACAACAACCAACTGATGAAGGATTGCTTGGAGATATTGTACCTCCTGGGATGCGAAGCAGATAATATAAAGGGTAATATATTCCGTTTCTTAATTTGCATTAATTTACATATATTTTTTTATTTCATCAATGACATAGTATTTGAACGTTACACGAGTGCGCCTACACAAGTGTAAGTGTATGTGTTTTATTTAAAAAGAAATTTCTGTCAATCCTTTATTTGTGAATTCACACTCAGAATATGTTTGCTGCTTACTTGTGAAGTTTATCTTAGGACTTTTAGTTAAGGGGGAAGAAGTCTAGCTAAGCCACATTATCATTTACTTAAGGGTCCTATATATATTTTTTTTGTTGAATTGTTTGACCATTTTAAGAGATTGAACTTTAAAGAACATACTTTTTATTATTTTTAGGGGTAAAAACTGCATGCAGATCTTTGTTTGTTTGTTTGTTTATTTTGCTTTTTTGGGAAGCTTTTCATAAAGATCTCTTGCTTCGCTTGGTCAAATACCTTGTTAAATTGTAAAGTTTATCTCATATTACTATATCAAAAATAATTATTAGTTTCTTAATTATTGTTAAGTATATATTTTTAGCGGCAATTAATGTTTTTTGTATCTCTCTAAAGCCTTTAACTAAATTAGTTCTAATGCAATTAATACTGATAAAGACTTTAAAATTCTTTATAAATATCAATATTTATTACCACTAAAAGTTGTTTTTATTATAGTGTATAATTGTATAAAGTTTTACATGAGGTAAATGATCATACAATTCAATACATGTTAATAATTGATTACTAAAGATTCCAAGCAGTTTATAAGTTTAATCGAGAAATATATACTAAGTGATTTTTTTCTTATCTATCTAATTTTGATAGAGAGAATTATCCGATATTTGTTGTCGGTGGAAGATGATCAGATCAATCTATAAGTTAGTTTGTAAATAATAATAGGACATAGGAGTTGTCAATATTTTTATGTCCGGTCAAATCGAACAAGATCCCAAGTGATGGAAATGAAAAGTTGATAAAGTTTTAAAACATATAAAAGTCTCTTTCCCATAGATTGCTTTCCCACCGCAACCTTTTTTTTGTGGGTGTTGCTTTGTCTCTTTAAAAGTATTAATATATCTTTCCATATAATATAGTAATAATATTGACTTGTTTGGTCCCCCACTGGTTTTAAGCAACAATCTATGGTCTAATTGATGCATGATCTAGAAGTAATTGATGATTGATGCTATTCATCCATTGTTTTACTATTTACAAATGCTTGTTACGATTGAATTAGTTTGATTATATTGTGATTGAAAGTTATAACCTTGTGACAGATTTTGGGATCTGTGATAACACGGCTAAACTAGTATAGTAGATAGAAAGGGGCCCTATAGCTAGCAAGTAGCTACTGTTCAAAAGGATGACATATATATATATCAAAGATTAAGAGGGGGGCCGTTTAAGAAAAAAAGAGACATATGATTAGTATATTCGTAAGTTATTTAGAATGTGGCATAATAATTAATGATGTGGTTGAGAACCATGAATTATCATGTTCAAATTTTAATGTGATCTCCTCATAAGGAATTTATTGATTTATGTGTGTGAAGAATAGCAAGTTGATAAAGAAATAAAGCTTGAGTCTAATCCGATCTCAAAAGCTAGTTCATTAAGTGAGGATTACCCGTCCATATTCCCATCCATTTGCCTATGTGTGACACCCACCCACCCCACACGCACATCTAACACTGAAGAGCATAGATAATATATACTTTCTCTATTTTAAAAAAAATGACCTTTTTTCCTTTTTAGTCTGTTTAAAAAGAATGACCTCTTTCTTTTTTTGATAACATTTTAATTTCTGCTTTCCATGTGACATGCATGTTTAAGACTACAAGATCAAAGGACAATTTTGTATATTTGACCTAACTTTAATTTAGGATTACAAGATTCAAAAGTATTTTTTATATTCTTTAACTTCGTGTCAAAGTTAAACCAGATCATTCTTTGTGAAACAAAAAGAAGTATAGGTCAACATCAGAAACAATGAATTGAAATGTGTCTGGCTCTGAAACCATGACATTGATGATGAGATAAGGGTTGGCCAGAATCATATAAGAAGTCCATGCTATGGAACACCAACACAAGTACACCATGAGAATTTCTCCCTTAATGACATTTTCTTGTAATTAAAACCAAAAATCATAGCACAATTGCACAAAACTCTTAGTTAAATTTCTTCACATAAAATTAAAATGAGAAAAAGACTTTCCTTTTGTTAGTGGGGATTAGTTTTGACAAGAACCGAATATGTGATTGTTATGGTACATCAATTTGGCCATAGAGCTTTAAGAATCAGAGACCAAAGAAGGTGGCAATGGCGCTCCCTTAGCAGGTAGCTAGCCAGCATGCCAAATAATTAAAGGGAAATATTGCTTTGGTTGATGTTACACATCTCATGCAAAACATGCACAAGTAATAGAATAAGTCACGCTTGTCTGCGTAAATGGAAGCATATTTTTAAGTTGTGTGGTCCTACATGATCATATGCTTTGAATTTATTTTTTTGAGATATTATGCAAATATTCTTTCAGATTTTTGTATCTATGTAACGTGTGATCATACAGTTTTCATATGCTTTAAATATTCTCATTTTCATTTGTGTTTTTATGTTATTTGAACTCTTCAAAAATGTTAGCGAGTTTCGTGTTGGATCTTTCAAAAACCATGTGTTTGGAAAATCTGACATGAGTATGTGGTAATGTTTTTGGAGAGTTTCGAACGACAAAGGTTAGTTTAACATACTTCCTCCGTTTCAATCTGTTTGTCATGTTTTGACTCTGTACAGAGTTTAAGAAAGTAAAGAAGACTTCTAAATCTGATATTAAATTAAGATATGTCAAATGTACCACAACGTTGTGGTTTTAAACATGTCACTTGAAAATTAGAAGTAAATAGTTGTCAAAAAAAGGAAAGAGATATTCTTTTCTTAAACAGACTATAAAGAAAAAGTATGATAAATAAATTTAAACGGAAAGAAGTATATTGGACTTCGAAAGATGAATAAATATTGATAAATGTGAAAAGGTCCAATGTATGCTCTTCCATCGACATCGACATGATTCAGGATTTATATTTGATGAGTTTAACTTTTTATTTACTGAAAATATTGTATATTTTATAATTATGGGTTGTGAATCTAATATATTTTCACATTTTTCATGATTTTCCCCCTAAAAAAAAACCTTCCAGGTATATATTATATAGCATGGATGTCATTCTTGAATTTAGCTGGAATCAACCCTCTATTTTATATGAAGTTAGCTATAGCTAGCTTTTTATATTTTTTGCTGATCATGATATAGGAATCATGACTTATTAATGGAGAGCCATTGGATATATATAGCAGCTCTAGATATATAATTGTAGAGTTTACCCTTTTTTCAACTTTCTGTTGTTGGGATTGGTCATTTTGGGGGTGGGGGTGGGGTGGGGGGTGATAACATTTGACCTAATTAATATTGTAATTACATTGGCATTGTGACAGTTATAGCTCAATTTGCTATATTTCTGTTTTAATTTGTGTAATGTATCAATTAACACTACTAAAAAAAATATCAAAAATCAAAAGGATTAAGATCCACAGACGGCTGCTGTAACTTAATTCGGAGAAAGCAAGTCCGATGCGATGAGCTTGATCCAAAAAGTAAACTCGTTGCTTTTACAGTTTTGATTTTCAAACTTGAGACCTCTGACATGAAAGTTTCAAGCCAAATTCACTGGCCACCCTGAAGGGTTCAAACTATGTAAGTTTTGTCCTTCGAATTTTCATAAACATATGTTAAGAAAATATAGTAATTTGAAATCGAACCCATATATTTATGATGGCATCGAACAATTCTACCTGCCTAATCAAGACTACATAACATAATTATCCTTCTAATATGGATTTTATATATCAAACCTACAATTATCTAAAAGGCTTCTACATATCATGTGCTTGTGTTTTAGTGTTGGTTCAATATTAGAGTTAAACTTAATTTATTCTTTTAGTTTCATATTTATTGGTTGTTATAATTTTAATAATTTGTACATATCAACATTGGACTAAGCTTGACCCCATAATATCGAGCTATAGTATTACAATTTTTTTATTCTAACAACAAAATATATCAAGCAAGTTAAAATGTAGATATCTTTTTCGTAGATTTTACTTTTTAGGGTATATTTTGGGCGGGCATCGTGTAATTGCGTGGATTTCTAAGTTGCTCTATTGTCAGTTGACGTTTACCTTTTACCATATCCCTCTTTCTTCCTTTTCATGATATAAAAACTTTATATTATAATTCACCTTTTCCTTGTAACCTACGTTATCTTATTATTGTCGTTTTCACACACAATTTCTGTACATATCTCTCACCACTTTCCTCATCCATGCGTGAAGTACACACATATTATTATTTGTTAATGGTTACTCCTTTCATTTTTATTTTTTAGTTTTTTTATTTGATGTTTAATATTTTATTTCGGTTCAATGGTGGATCAATATCTTTAGAAATAAGGTATCCGTCTTAGGCCCCCAAATTTATAGAGGCCCTTTTTAACCAAAAAAAATAACTATATTTATTTCTATAAAACTTAAGAACAAAAGAAGAAGAGAAAGAAGAATATAAGATCAATAGAGGAACAATATAAATTTTCTTTCTTTCTTTCAAATGTATCAACATTATTCTCAACAACACTATTTATAGGATTATATTGAAGAATATCGAAGAGTGTCATAAATATTTCATTAAACCTTGAGAATTACTACCCATTATGGAGGAAATAAAGTTAGGAGTTATGCTCATTCATTTGACCATATTATCAACAACATTACTATCAATAAAGGATGAAATTAACATTGGAGTTATGGTCATTCATTTGATTACATTAGCAACAACATTACTACTCGTAAAGGAGGAAATTAACCAAGGAGTTATGGTCATCCATTTAACGATTAAAATGATTTACAACACTCCCTCTTGGAAGACTATTGATAGATAATATGCCTCGTTAAAACCTTACTAAGAAAGAAACCCCGTAAAAAAATCTTAGTGAAGGACAAAAGAGTACACATATCTTGTTATACGCTTTATTTGCTACCTCGTTAAAAACCTTGCCAGGGAAACTCATTGGGATAAAACCTAGGTCAAGAGAAAAAGAGTGCAGCGTGTAGTTTACTCCCCCTGTTATAAACATCATTTAATTTCTTGGAGACGACGCATTCCAATCTTGAATACCAACTTTTCAAATGTTGAGGTTGGTAATGCTTTAGTGAACAAATTTGCCAAATTATCAATCGAGCGAATTTGTTGAACAGTTATTTCACCTTTTTTCTCAAGATCATGAGTGAAATTTTTTTTTGGTGAAATGTGTTTTGTTCTATCTCTTTTTATGTATCATTTCTTTAGCTGAGCTATATATGCAGCATTGTCTTCGTACAATGTAGTTGGAATATCTTTTTTCATAGGAAAATCACACATTTCTTGAATATGTTGAGTTATTGATCTCAACCAAACACATTGTCTACATGCTTCATGGATGACTATTATTTCTGCATGATTTGAAGAAGTAGCAGCTAATGTTTGCTTCATTGAACACCTATAGTTGTGCCTCCATATGTAAACAAATAGCCTGTTTAAGATCGAGCTTTATGTGGATCAGACAAATATCCAGCATCTGCATAACCAATCATTTCTGACTTGGATTTATTAGAATAAAATAATCTCATATCAATGGTTCCTTGAAGATATCTAAGTATATGTTTGACTCCAGTCCAATGTCTCTTTGTAGGGGCCGAGCTGAATCTTGCTAATAAACTTACTGCAAAACAGATATCTGGTTGAGTGTTATTGGCAAGATAATTAGTGCTTTAATAACAGTAAGATATGGAGCTTCATCAAGAAGTTCTTCCTCATTTTCTTGAGGTCGAAATGGATCGTTAAGTATGCCAAGCGGTCTCACAACCATCAGGGTATTCAACGGATGTGATTTGTCCATGTAAAATCGCTTTAAAATATTTTTTGTGTATGTTGATTGATGGACAAATATTTCATTTTTCAAATGTTCAATCTGTAGGCCAAGACAAAATTTTGTCTTACCAAGATCTTTCATCTCAAATTCTTTCGTTAAACACTCAACAACTTTTGAAAGCTCATTAGGAGTGCCACTAATATTTAAATCACCAACATACACATCTGTTATAACAAAATCAGATCCAGACCTTTTTATGAAAACACAAGGACAAATAGGATCATTTCTGTACCCTTCCTTTAGCAAAAATTGGCTAAGAAGATTGTACCGCATCCGTCCTGATTGTTTTAATCCATATAAGGATTTCTGAAGCCTTATAGAACCAACTTTTTTCGAATTTTTATATGCTTCAAACATATTGAATGCTTCAAGAACTTTCATGAAAATATTGTGGTCCAATGAACAATATAAATAGGTTGTGGCAACATCTATTAGACGCATTTCAAGCTTTTCATGTACTGCTAGATTTATTAGATACCTGAAGGTAATTACATTCACTACAGGAGAATATGTATCCACATAATCAATGTCAGGCCTTTGCGAAAAATCTTGTGCCACAAGTCGTGCTTTATATCTTAAGACTTCGCGTTTTTAATTTCGTTTTCGCACAAAAACCCATTTGTATCCCACTGGCTTGACACTTTCAGGTGTTTGGACTATTGATCCAAAAACTTCACGTTTTTCAAGTGAAGTCAATTCTGCTTGAATTGTCTCCTTTCATTTTGGCCAATCATTTCTTTGTCTGCATTAATTGACAGATTTTGGTTCAAAATCCTAACCTTGTTGCATTATTTCAACGACAACATTATAGGCAATATTATTTCGATTTCACCTTTTTCTCGTTGAGACATAACTTATTGAGACATCTTCGTTCTCATTATTTTCAGTTATTTGAACCTTCTCATCCATTTGACCACATTATCAACAAATGGAGTTATGGTCATCCATTTGACTACATTATCAACAATATTACTACTCATAAAGAAAGGGAATTAACCAAGGAGTTATGGTCATCCATTTAACTACCAAAATGATTTACAACAATTATATCTTTTTTTAGTTCGTTTTGCAACATTAAAGAATGTTTTTTTTCTTTTTTGTCAAACTTTTGAATTTAACTTTCACATAATATGTTTAAAATCACAAGATTAAAAAATAGTTTGATATATATATATATACGACCATTGATGAGTACAAAAATTCTTTCTGAAAATAGAGTTTGCAAGGTCACATGAGGGAATAGTACTTTGTCAAAGAAAAATATACTCTAGAGTTAATATCAGATTTAATAAAGCACAAAGAAAAGAGATACATCAAAAAAATCAAACTAAACTTAGAATAACTGATAAAGAATGATATTTTTATTTTGTAATTTGCAATTTTACATATTCAGGATTTTTCATTTTTTACTAATGAAAAAATTGTTTTAGTTCTTAAATGTAAGTTCAAATTGATGGAGATCACGCCGCCTCAATTGTATGTTTAGTCATTCCTCAAAAAATGCTGGAATTCAAAAGTCGTATAAGTCTAAAATTAAAATTTAAAATTAATACCAAATTATGACAATAATTAACCTAAAATGAGAATCTTCTAAATACAAGACCGCGAAATTAGCTACTTAATAAAGTTATAGTGTCTTTGATTAACATATGCATAATTGAACATACTATAATTAGTTCTCTTATTTGCTCTTATCATTGTCAAAAGGGAAAAAACTCAAATATGCCATCGAACTATTAGTAAAGGCTCATTTATGTTATCCGTTAAAAGTTTATCTTATTTATATATTGCTGATAAAGAAAATGCTCATTCATGCATTTCTTTTTAACTTCGGTTTTGCAAAATCATTTTTTACACACCAAACAAGGTTTAACACCTTTTTAAATGGTATTTTTGGATCAAATGCTTAATAAGTTATAATTAAATTGATCATAATTTAAAAGTAATAAATCATGCTAAATTAAGTTTGATAAAAATTAGTTA